TTTACCAATAAATATAATGAACTGTGTTTTGGTATAACAATTACCCTCATACGATTTTGCCCTAGAGTACATACGGATTTACCCCGCACCTGGAGTAAATCCGTATTTTTATCAAACAAAGTAAAACGCAAATTAAACAAATTTAAAAAAAAAAAAATAGAAAAAAGTTTCGAATAAAATTTATAGACCATAAGTTTTTCTATATATACCAGTTTAAAAAWTTWAWTTYSKTWAAAATTGCATGATTTATAAGCYATGGAAGCTTAACCGTACGGTATTGCCCCGCCTTCCCCTACAATGTACCTGCTATAAGCCAATTAGTTGACTTTAACCATTTTATGTTGGTTTTTATTTCGTCAGTCATTCGACAACACTCCTATTGTCCATATTAGCGCTACGTCTAGTTAAATGTATCGTCTAGTCAATATGATTTTTTTTAATTTGCCATCGTCTGAGAAGGAGGCTATTAATTTTCTCCAAGAACGCGGAGTGTTACCAAGTAGGTACACGGATTTGTCCGAACAGTCACTTGGCAAAATTGTATTTTGGAAAAGAGATCTTTTGGAAATGTAATATTAAAAAATGCCAAAAAAAGGTAAATATACGTAATGGTAATTTGGTTTGCGAAATCACGAATATCGTTTACGACTGCTGTGCGATTTATATATGGGTGGTCTAATGAAATGACTAATATAAAGTAACTCATACCAGTCATACCTATATTTTTGTTTTCTCTAGCAAATTAACCTTGCAAACTAACCTTGAGTATAAATATAAATTATAATATAATAATACAAATTAAATATGTTCATAAACCATAATTCACTTAAAAACTGAATTATCATAGAATACAATTCATATGCTTACAAACACAGATCATGTTCTAAGCATTGAGTTTCGTTATTCTCTCTAATTTAAAAACTAACAAATCTAATCGTGATCTGTCGATCCTAAAATTGCTGTCGTGCACTTTTAAGCCGTAAAACTTATGCGTGTATACAGTTATAATAATAATAATTAAACATACGAAATTAGTAAATATTATGCCTWACKTTGCTTGTAAAAAAATATATATTTTCTTATGTTATGTTAATTTGTATGAATTTTAAAGGTTGCAATTAATGGCTGTACGTAAAATTTGTAATCTGTATTTTTTTTTAAATGTTTTCCATCAGCAAGTGTTTTTGAAGTCTACTAGCGATTTCCACCATTGTTTACCACACAGGAACACTAGTTATGATGAGATTTTTAATATTTTATTAATCTTGTTTTAATTTTTCAATAGAAAACTATCAATGGCTGAAGTGGTTTCAAAGTCTATTCATTAAACTGATGTGCTTTCATAAATGTTGATTTACGTTCACTATCTAAATTGCCAGCTATAAACATGTGAATGGACAACAGTTTTTGGTTAGTGAAAAGTGTAGTATTATTCACAAAGTTTTGTAAATATAATTACTATTCAAATAATATTATCTTACCTAAATTATTACTGTCCGCCATGAGATTAACTATATCGTCAGAATTATCTTTATACATGTACACACCCGGTTCCTTGTAACTTCGTGAATATTACCAAAAATAATAATATAAATTAATTATAAAATTTAAATAGTATATCAATATTATTATAGATAATTGATATTCTTTGTCAAAGATAGTTTTTGTATACAGGGTGATTGGTGATTATTTTTACATTAAACWYTCATTATCTCGAAAAGTATTAACTTATATAGAAATATTTTGAATTCATTAGAATAACCATTTTTAAAAAATACT